CCTTCCTTCCTTCCTTCCTTCCTTCCTTCCTTCCTTCCTTCCTTCCTCCTTCCCTCCTTCCTTCCTGCATCCCTCCCTCCCTCTCTCTCTTCTTCCTTTTTTCTGTTCCCTCCTTCCCTTCCCCTTCCTTCCCTTCCCCTCCTCCCTCCCTCCCTCCTTCCTTCTCTTCTTCCTTCCTTCCTTCTGTTCCCTCCTTCCCTTCCCCTTCCTTCCTTCCTTCCTTCCTTCCTTTCTACCTTCGCACAATGGTTGGAATGCAACATTGCAGGCTGACTCTGCCCACTGCCAACAGTTCGATTCTGAGCGGCTCAAGGTTGCCTTGTCCTTCCGTCCTTCCAAAGTGGGTAAAATGAGGACCCAGATTGTTGGGGGGCAAGAAGCTGAAACGCTTAAGAGAAGGCTGGCTGCAAAGCCCTGGGAAGCAGTCTGTACGTCGGAAGTGCTATGACCGTTGTAAAATCAGAAGCAATTCCCTTAACCTACCTCGCTTAGCCACGGAAATTGCCGCCATCGATCAAGGACTCCCTGTACAGTTACTCCTTTTTCGTTTGCTGGGTCAGCCCTGAGGCTGACATTTATGGATCTTCTGTGGACGGAGGAGGATTGGAAGGGAAATCCCCCATGCCTTCCCTTGTGTGCCTTTTAGAAATTTACAACGTCTGGACAAGGACAAGGCCTGCCATGCTGCATTTTTGGAAACAAAGCCCAGCTGAGCTGAGGTCAGATTTCTTTCAAGCAAACTTGAGAGACAGAGAGACAGCCGGGAATCGGAAATACACTTACGAGGTCAGAAACTGAGTTTAAAATTCCCCACTCCCACCCCCAAGGGAGGAGGCAGTCTCCTTGCAGGCAGAAAGTCTGCGTAAAATAAACCATAATTACTGACGCTCCTATGGGACTTACTTGCACTTTTGTTCCTCATTGTCCCGCGACTCCGGAATGGATGTTTGTTTTCCTGCTTTGCTTTCTAGATCCAAAACAAAAGACTCTTTTTTTGGGGGGGGAAGGGAGAACAGAGAAAAGAGAGATCAAAAGGAGCCCATTGTAATATAAGATTTGCCCAAAATAGCCCCTGAGCTCAATTAAAAAAAGAGAGAAAGAAAAAAAAAACGCAATCTTTATCATGAGAACTTAAGACTCTTAGAGGCAGGGAACTGTGCCAGGTATTATTATTAGCATTTGAATAATTCCGACTCCCCGCAGGCTTACAAGATAAAAATTCAATAAAAAGGAAAAAAGGGACGACAAGAAAATAAGGTTAACCCACCCACTTAAGCACAGCCTGAACTCCCAAATGGCTTGTACGTAAAACCAAAAACGGGGATAACAATAGCAAGATCAAAAGTGGAACAGTAGAATAGAACAACAGAGTTGGAAGGGACCTTGGAGGTCTTCCAGTCCAACCATCTGCCTAGGCAGGAAACCTTAGACCACTTCGGACAAATCATTGTCCAATCTCTTCTTAAAAACCTCCAGTGTTGGAGAATTCACAACTTCTGGAGGCAAGTTGTTCCACTGATTAATTGTTCTGACTGTCAGGAATTTCTCCTTAGTTCTAAGTTGCTTCTCTCCTTGATTAGTTTCCATCCGTTACTTCTTGTCCTGCCTTCCGGTGCTTTGGAGAATAGCTTGACTCCCTCTTCTTTGGGGCAGTCCCTCAAATATTAGAACACTGCTATCATGTCACCCCTAGTCCTTCTTTTTATCAAACTAGACATACCCAGTTCCAGCAACTGTTCTTTATATGTTTTAGCCTCCAGTCCCCTAATCATCTTTCTTGCTCTTCTCTGCACTCTTTCCAGAGTCTGAACTTGGGTGATGGCAAATGATCACGTCTCCAAAGTTTGATGGGGGGGGGAAAATTCTAAACCTTCCCAGTAACCGAGTAACTTTTTTTTCTTTTTCTGGGAATTTGGCTGTTAATTTTATTAATTTATCAGCAGCGTAGATCCACCTCCCACTTCCTCAATCTTGTTTGGAATTTCCCTGGTCAGTTGGAGGCCCTTGAAATGGCTGGCAACCTTCCCAAGCTGTCGAAATCCAACCATCTTGAGAAGAGAAGCTTTAATAATCTGCAACCAAGAGCCTCCAAACTTGATGACTTTAAGACTTGTGGACTTC